CCAGAGTCCCCAGCTGACGTCTTCACGCTATTTTACGTAAGTACGTAGAAAAATAACAAAACATCCTGTGGCTTAACAGGATGCCACCCTCAAACAAAGCCTGTTAAGAAGTTCTGGGTCTGGAGGAATCCCCACTGATTTCCTTTAGACAGTCCTTAAGACAAATATTAGATCAGGAAAGAAAAGCAGGAGTGGGACAGAACATTTGAAGGTGAGGACAAAGTGACCATGTGGGTCCCCCGGGAGGTGTGATGTGGGCGGGGCTAAAGCACACTGCAGGCCGCCTGGCTCTGGAAGGTGGCGGGCCCTCCTGGGTACCATGGCAACCTCCTCCAGCAGCAGTCGGAAGTTGAAGCGTATGGCTAGTGGTGTGGCTGACAGGCGGGTGCAGCAGAAAGACACCAAAGTGTGAAAATTGACGCGGGGGTGGGACTCTGCTCCACAAACCTAACAGGCGGGCGATCCCAGCGGGAAATCTGCATAAAGGGCAAGGTGGACATCTCTCTCTGTCCTGGTACACACACACACATACGCGTTTCCTGTACTGTGAATCTCCCAGCGGCTGTAGATTTACCAGCGAACACCAGAGAGCGCTACAGCGTTTTACGGGAGACAGTCGCAGACCGCTTACAGAGAAGCTCTCTGAGACTCTGGTATGTTCACTGTTTTGACCATCTTGTGGCATGTGTTGCGCCTTCTCATGAGCCTCTCCTGCGTTCTGTGGCCTGGTCCACCTCAGAGGTTAAGCGGGGGGGCTCCTGGTGACAGTCCTGACACCGATAACAGTCAAGCAGCGAGAAGTTAATCTCAAAGCAGGGTAGCGAGAGAGGTCAGTGTGCTGTCTGTCTGCTAATTCATACGCTAACTTGTTTTTGTTTTACAGTGGCTCTGTCCTCGCTACCCATCCCAGTATGCACTGCGGGCTTGATCCCACATCACTACAGATTTCTCGTCTTGAAGAGAGACTCGTGATATTATGACATTTTCTCCCTAAAACTCTCTTGAGTCCCACTGGTCTGTTTGGGTAACACAGGTGATGTATCGATTAGCTAATCCCCCTCCTCTTTTAGACCCTCCCCTGAAGCATACACTTGTTT